ATCACAAACTATAATTCAAACTATGTCACAAATCTTTAAATCAAACGCACTCTTCTTTTTATTATCAAATAGTTGAGTTTAGTTGCATGGTAAATCTTGAAAATGACGAATGTTAGCTTGTTTCACTTTGAAGTATGATGATATATATAGGTATAATTTTAATAGTTATTTAAATATTTATTTATTAATAAATATTATTATTTTTTTCTGTTAAGATCCGTTTAAATCTCAACGAAAGAAGCTCATTTGACTTTTTAATTTGGAGTTTATGTGTAAAAATCCACTTTTGGTTGATTTGGAAGTAGTTTATATGGCAGAAGAAAGAGAATTTGAGATTGAAATTAGGAGTAACTGCTCTGTAAGCATAAAATTTAGGGTTCTTGAAATTTCTTTAAATTTGAGCTACAATGGAAGAAACCCCATTGTTTGATTGTAAGATTCAGAAACCCACGAAGGTGGTGACTTCTTGGACGAACTTCAACCCTGGGCGTAGATTTTATGGGTGCCATTTATATGGGGTAAGCTTTGATTTTGGATTATTCAGTTATTCCAACTCTGAAATTTTTTATTTGTGTTTGAATTTCATTTCTTCTCTACTCTTTTCTAGCGTGATGGATGTCGGCCTTGTGACTATTTTGTGCGGAAAGACCCACCTATGTGTAGAAAATCGAAGATGGTCATACTTGGGTTGCTGAGAATGGTTAACGATTTGGAGGCTCAACTTGAAGAAATTGAGAATACCCACCTTGTTTGTAAGCTGAAATTGTGAAACATTTGTGGGAATGTAATGTAAATTTGTTTTTTGAATTTGGCCGGTCTCTTCTGTAACATATTGGACCATCTAAAGTATATTTTGTGTTGAAGAACTTGATATGTGTGCTATTAAGGATCAAATTGTTAGATTGAGGACCAACGTGTCACCATATAAATAGATTGGGGATTGAATTGGCACTTACTAAATAGTTTAGGGACCAACATGGATTTGCCATAATTCTTAACCTCAAGGCAATTTCGTCATTCCACTGTAAATAGAGGACACGTGGGGGGTCATGTAGGCTTCTCCTGTTAGGATTTAGACGGATTTTGATAGAAATGACCAACTTGTTACCTATTTAAAGAGGTTAGAGGTCATTTAATAAAAAAAAAATTAGGGACCAAGTTATCATCTACTAAAGAGGTTGGGGACCACCCGTACTAATTATCTTAAAAAAATTTATGACAATTAATAAAATTAGATTCTTATCACGTCACGTCATTAGATTTATATATTTAATAATAATCTAACTCGTCCACATATATTACGAGCATTATTAGTATCATGAATCATGATTAGTATCTTGTCACTCCAAATCTAGCTAGTTTTCAGTATAGATAAGCAAGGAAATTAGTTGACGGGGCGACTAGTATATTGGGCTCATGATTATGGGTTGAAATAGTAATATTGAAGGTTGTAATATTTGGTAACTGTGACGACCACTCAGTCATCTTCTTTATGGCATTAGATGCTGGGACCTGGGCACAGTGAAATTGGTTGTAATCTTTCACAACTTTGTGGTGGATGTCGTATTCACTTGAAAAAAGTTTCAAGTCTTTTGCTTGAAATTGAATAATAAAACTATACGAAAGACTTAAATAAAGATGAGGACATTGAGCTGTGCATTTCAGTGTGATTCAAATTACCAACATGTCAATATCTTTGGCATTAACATAAGTTTAAACGGCTCTTTGCAACCTTGTTTAGTATGAGGGAGAAGGAAGGAGAAGATTGAGAAGATTAATAGAAGGATTTTGGAAATTATAATTATTTGGTATAAGAGAGAGAATTTAAAGGAATAAATTAGGTTAGAGATTTCAGATCGTTTAAAGAACTCTTAGGCCATGTTCATTTTACCGATTCGAGTTTAGAATTTAAGTTTTAGTACATTAAAAACTTCTCAGAAACAGTCACATCTAATTTTTTTACTACAGTAAAAAACTCTTACATAAAGTCATATCTTAACTCAAATTAAAAACTTAAATCAGTAAACTAAACGGACCTTTAATGATCTCTTCTAATATGATGAGATTAATATCGGAGAGAATCCATACTAAACATAGTAAGAAAAAAATTATTTCTTTTCCCTTCTAATTTCTTTCCCTCTTAACTATGTCTAGAAAGGATATAGAACTAGAATTTTGGTTCTTGAAAATAGTAAGAATCTAAAGGAGTAAGATTCAGAAATTAGCAGCTGGACTTGGCTTATAATGTTTTCTTGTTAAAGAAAAGAGATTATTTTGAGGAATCACATCAAAAACACCTCTCTTAACAAGGGTACATCTATATAGGCAGCACCTGAAAACAAGATAAACTACAGCATTCTAAAGTATTACTTGTATATCCAAACAAAGAAAAAATGAAAATTTTGTACCGCGGTTTTGGTATTTGTCAATGTTGCACCGACAAAAATAAAGTGTATTTGTTTTTTTTTTAAAGCGGGATTAAAAATAATTTGACAAGTATTAGGCATAAAAAAATGTGCATCACGTACCCCTTCCATTCAAGAAAAACAAAACTAACAAACAAACGAACGTGGACTAGAAGATAAAGACAAAACGTCGAAGTGGCAAATTCTTGCTTGTAGATCTCCACAACTAGTACACGACAAACAAGAAAAGACAAAGCTGACAATTTTGCTTTTTCCATCCTTTGGATTCATTAGTGTTTGCTAAAAAGTCCTTCATATTTATCAATAATGTATTTTCTTCTCATATACTTGGTGTAGATTCCTCTATAGCTTCCTTGGTCAAAGCACAAATTATTCAAAATCTAGTTAAATAATAACTCTGAATTGACACCTTTCACTTAGGTTCTCTGTTTCTTGTTTATTTAAAACCAAGTGGGTTGGGAGATCCCAATAGTTTCTCTTAGAAAAAATAAATAAATAAAATAAAAAATCTCAATTATTCATCTATTCTCGAGCAAGATCACAACAATTAATAAGTTATGTAACTAGTTTAATATGTAATAGTTTATAGAGAAGTTAGAGATTCAATGTTCAATCTCTTGAAATGAAAGAGAAAGATTATATACCGACATTTGCTCAAGAACCGCGTGGGACATCAAAATGAAGAGGACAGAAATTTGGAGCTCTTCAGAATGATTTTAAGCCTGGCCTTCTTTTGAGGCTTCCCTTTTTAGTCTTGCGCACATACAAGTGGTCCAAGGCTAACCCTGCAGACAATTATGACTCAACTTCCATCAGTCTGACTATATAATAAATTCTTTCTCATCTATTAAGAATTGTTATTTTTTTTAATTTTGTTAGAAAATAAATGTAATAAATACTTGAGAGAATAATGGAAACACTAGGACAGTCAAATAAGTCATATTTATTAATTTAAATTGAGATGTAATTTTATTTATTAATTTAAATTGATATGTAATTTTATGTAAAAAAAATTATTATAATAAAAAAATTAAATATAATTATTTTTAAAATTTTTTACTGTAATAAAATTTGAATCCGTAAAATCAACGAGGTCTCTATTTACTGCCAAGGTTAAAGTTTCTGAACTGTTATTTTATCAGAAAAACAAAAAAAGTCGGGCATGTATTTCACGTGCAAATGCTTGTAAAGTGAGTGAATAAGTACAAAGAAGGAAGTTTTATTATGTTATTGATAGAATACTTTTTAATTTCACTCGTCATGTGGAAGCTTCATGGCAGAATTGAATTTGTGTGAAGGATTTAAAATGGAAGTTAATAACTACATGGTATCAATTGAGGCAATATGACTAGGAAGTAAAGAGCTATATTCTGAATGCTTACCCTCTTTTTTCTCCTCCTTTTAAATACAGAAATTAGAGCTAAAAATGATAGAGAAATAATTATCTTAATGTTGAAAATGAGCTTCGGCTATTGATGAAAAGTTGGCTTAAGTAGTGGTTTAGTACTAAAGTTGCCTCAGCTCTCTTCTATATTAAATTGGGTAAATAATATATATAATGTGTGTGTGTCTCAATTAAACATTTGTGTGTAAGTTGGGTCTAGTATCTTTAAAAGTACCCAATGAATCACATTTGACTTCCAAAACAATACTAAAAAGATATAGGCTAAAAATAATGAAGAGGAGCAGTTGAATGATCTCTTGATACTGCATAAGAGATGCCCTTGAGCAAGCCATGGTCAACATCTTGCCCAGTCTATATTATTTTTTTGGATTTTATATTTTCATTTTTTTGGATTTCAAGTATTTGTTCCATACACGCAACTACATGGTTGACAATTGAATAACTAGGCATGGCCTGATGTCACTTGTCTCCCAATTGGGTTTGATTGTTACATTAATCACACTTTTTAAGTATTTCACTTTTGGCTCCAAGGATATACAAGAATCCTTTTGCTGGCTCCAAGATATGATTTTTCATTTTTGGTGTTTATCTTGGGACAAATTCTACCGTGCAACCCCATTTTACCCCACTACTAATGAACGTTATATTTTTAACTGTTAGATTAATTTTTTAACAACTAAATTTATGCAAAATCACATTAAAAATTTATAAGTTAAAATGCGCTATAAAAACTACTCCTATTACAAATTTAACCCTTTAAAAATTAATTTAATTAAAAATATAGTGCTTCACCGATAACTAAAATGTAGTGATGGTTGCATCGTAAAGCTCCCAATGTCTTTGTACTCTTTAACAAAAATGAATTTAAATAGACATACTGTTTTCAGTTTACAGCCTTTTAAGGCCCTTAACAAAGGTTTGAGAAGATGTCTCTCTCTCTCTCTCTCTCTCTCTCTCTAAACACAGAGAAATGTTCAACTTTTGCTTAATTCAAATACAATTACATATTAAGACTTCAATTATTTCACTAATTTTAATTTTTAATTTTAATTTTATTATAATTAAAAATTCTCATAAAAAATCACATTTAATTTTTTTATTATAATAAAAAATTCACACATAAAATTAAATCTCAACTCAAATTAAAATTTTAAGTGCGTGAACTCAAATTAAAATTTTAAGTGCGTGAACTCAACGATACCTGAGCTCTATCACTCCCAACATAAAATTATCATAATCATTTACAATATTTTCCTTCACCTTTCCCTCCTGGCCGTTACAAATCGAAATTGTTGCCACATATCAGTTTATGCCTGAGGCCATAAATCATAAAGGCTAAGCGACTCCATAAAGCCTTTTTGGCTCCAAAAAAACATAAAGAATGAAGGAGGTGGTTGTATAAATATTTAGTTCACCAAAGTTACAACTTCACAAGAAAAAAAAGACATTTTCCCTTCCTATTTTCCTAGCTTGAGTGACCTTAAAACTGAAATGCCCCCCCTTACAAATCAGAGAGCACAAAGGGTCTCTGGTTCATAATTTGTAGCTTTAATAAAGTCTAACTACCACCAAGACAAAGTCTCTGTCCAAATCATCAAAAGGCAGCAGAACAAAGGGGGAAAAAAGGATCTCAACTGCCTGTGGTCTTGCTCATACCTTCATGAGGGCATTTTTCACTTCTAATTTTAGACGCCAAAATTACATATCTTAGTACTGTTTCTTCTGCAGAATTTACCAGATTGAACCCGAATTATGCCCACCTTTCCCATGTCAGATGAAACTAAGAGTATTTTGTACTCTTGTTCTCTAATTTCATGAGCTCCTTCCAATTTCTTTGCCACTGAATTCTCCACCTCCAAAGGAGGCTGCGGCAGCAGCAACATCTAGACCGCCACCAATGGATGTGATCAATGCTGATAAGCCGCCATTGGGGCTTCCACCAGCAGCCATTCCCAGTCCTAGAAAATCAAGTGTTGTTTGCTTTGGACCAAACATGGAAGGAGTTCCCATCATGAGTTCCTTCAAACCAGAGCCTCCATCACAAGGCAGACCGAGTCCAAGCCCTGCAGCAACCGACCCACTATCAGGTTCTACTTGCCGCCGAGGCCATTGCAAATTCTCTTGCTGCGCAGATGGGGATGTAGACGACATGATTCCCAACCCACGAAGCAATGAGGCGTTCGTTGCAGCCGCGCCCATTTGAGCGGCTTTCTGGAGCAATGCGGTGGCAGACATGGCTGGTTGTGGTGGAGGTGCGTATTGCCTGCGCTCTTGACCTGCAGTTCCGAAAATTGAGGAGCCATGGCTAGTAGAGAGGCCGAGAGAGATCGGTTCTATAGAGGAAGATGGTGCGAGATCAGCAGGGGGATCCGGGGGCCCCATGGCTCGGATTAGATCTGTGAATGCAGGAGATTGAGGAGGCTGCAAGTTTGCTGATGTTGTTGAGGGAGCAAACAGGCTTGCAAATACACTACTGCTTGTGCTGCCATTGCTGCTTGAACTAGTGATACTATTTGAGCTCCCGTTTAAGCCGGGTTCGGGCGTCGTTTCTTCCGAGATTCGCGGGGGATTTTCAGGCAATCCCGCTATCAAAGTACAAATTGTTGAAAAGGGAGTTAAAACCAAAAGGGTTTTACTTCAACACGCAGAGATAGAAAGTTAAAAGGGACTTTTACTTTTATATTAAAGCTTTTCTGAAGAAAAAGGAGAACAAAACCAATAATGGCTTCCTTTCTCTAATCCCACTTCTCTCCCACCCCCCTTTTAGCTTTTGAATCACTTGAGTCTCTTTATAGAGATTACACAACTTCAATCCCACGTTTTAATTAAAACCCCGTAGCTATTATTTTTCATAAATCTCTAAACAACCCCAAATCTCAGTTCAGCAAGTAACCAAACAATTATAGCATTAACAAGGTTCAACGGAGATCAGTTACAGACAAAAACAACTAGACTCCAAATACAGAGAAAGAGAGAACGACAAAAAATAAAATAAAATAAAATAAAAAGAATGTTACATTTCTTACAAAAGAAAAAACAAAAACAAAACTGAAGAGATTTAAAAAGGGGGAGAAAAAATTTCAAACTTGGGTCAAAATCATATTCACCTGGGGTTTGGATAGGCAAAGTGGATGACGATATTACACCAGTTGATTGTGAAGGACCAGATTGAACAGAGGTTGATGAAGGTGGAGCCTCTTTTGATTTTGGTGGTGGTGGTTGTGGTGGAGATGATGAATTTTTCTTCTGAACTTTTGGCTCCGATTCTGAATTCAACTTCCCAGTTGTCTGATTCTGAGCTTGTACTTGGTCCTGAGGAGGATTTGGTGGCTGATTATTCTGATTTTTTGCGCTTTCTTCCGCCAATGCATCACAGAAAGCCCTATGCGTGATAAAACTATCCCTCCTTCACCCACAAAACAATATATATATATATATATATATATATCAGTAACCGAAACCATAAATTTTCGGAAAAAATGTGAAAAATAAGAACCAACCTTGAGAACAAAGTCCCACAATCGCATTTGTACTCTCGGGTGCCGCAAATCTTGGAATGGGCCTTCCAATCGGACTGGACGGCGTACTTTTTGGAGCACTTGTCGCATTTCCACTTCTTCTCGCCGTGCTTTCTGCAGAAGTGCTTCTTGATTCCGGTGAGATCGCCGAGGGCTCGCGAGGGGTCGTGGTGGACGCAGGAGGGCTCGGGGCAGACGTACACCCTCTTCTTCACCTCCTTGCTCGACCTCTGTCTCAGCTTCCATGGCAGATTGTGCCCTCGCCGGTGGAGCTGCAGATTCTGGTCCCTCTGGAACCCTTTGTTGCAGATTTCGCATATGAACCGGTTTGTCGCCAGAAGTGCCTTAGGCGACAGAGCAATCACCTCCGCATCTGGGTCTAACAAAAAAAAAAAAAACCCCAAAAAATCAGATTTTCCAGGAAAAAGATTCAGATTTTCCGAGAAAGTTTCAGATTGTAATCAGAAAAAAAAAATTAACAACCTGGCATTCCGGGGAGATTTCGCTTTTTCTTGGGAGTGGATTTGGGAATGGAAGGGGCTGTTTGGTTTCCGGAGGAAGAAACGCTTGCTTCCCCAGAGGCCGTAGAGGAATTGTCCAAATCAGTCGCCATGGGAACAAAACAAAACGAGATCAAACTTCTTCTTTTAGGGTTTTCTTTTTCTTTTTGGAAATTGGAAAACAACAAAAGAGAAAAAGAAGAAAATCTCAACTGGCCATATTAGTTATTTTATTCATTTCTCAGAAGAATTGCAGAGGAGAAGTAGCTTTTCGGCTAACAAAGTTTCCATTTTTTTGGTTTCTAGGGTTACTTTTTTCTCTCATCTATATATCTATATAGCTATATATCATCTATCTACCGGTCAATCTCTGCTTTATTTTCTTTCTATTTTCCTTTTCCTTTCTCTTACCGACCTAGCTCCGCTGTGTCTGACCAAAACTTCACATTACCCCATAAACACAATGATTAAACCCAAGACTTCCACAAATCGAAAAGCCTTTTTCAGCTCAAAATTAAAGAGAGAGAGAAAAAAAACACAAAACAAAAAAAGAAACAAAAAACACTTGAGAAAATCCGATCCAACAGTCCAATTTCTGAGAGAAAAATCTTCAAATGAAAAACTTGGAAAACAAAAATGTTTTTAGCAAGTTTATCTGGCTTCTTCTTCTTCTTTTTCTTCTTCTGTAATCTGGAGAATCGGTTTTTTTTTTTTTTTGACTGAAGAGAGTTATGAGCAGAGCCCGTAAACAGACACAAATGGAGATTCTGTGTTTTGAGTTCAAAGTCTTTAAGAGAGAGAGAGAGCTCAAAAAGTCATTGCTCAGTGCTTTTATGTCTTATAATAACTTTATTTTATGTGAATTAAATTTAATTTAATAAAAAAAGAAATGAATACAGAAATTAGCGTTGAGTGAGTTTTAATTAATTAATTATGTTAATTTTTAATCAAGTGAGTTAATTTTGATTTTGACAATGACTTGTTTCCTAAGTTTCCCGTTGAAGGGATTTTTTTTTTTTAAATTTTACCGTCTCAGTGTTCACTCCCACGTGTTATCGGCACTATGCAAGAGACTTGTCGGAGGATTGGAACCGGACAAAACGATTTGTCGTTTAGCGAAGGAAAGGTCTTTGAGTTCACTAGATTCAGTGCTTAAGAAGCGGGAGCAAAAGTCAAACGACTTTTTCATCTGATTTGGAACTTCCTCGTGTTCTGAGCCGATCCGGTTTTGACACGTTGTTGCTATGCAATAAGCTTGAGCATGTTTGATCATTAATCTTTTTTAGTATGAAATTTCTCCTCTTTTTAACTAACGGTAACGAATGTTATTTTAATCGTGGATTAAATTTTTTACTGTAAGATTTACGGATGTTCAGATTAATTACACATGGCATGATACAGGATTGTTACAATTATAAATCAAATCATTAAAAACTTAAACCAACAATTAAAAGATTAAAACGTAAATGTAAGTGTTTGCAACAATTCTCTCTTTTGCTCTGTTAGGTTTTGGTTCTCCTTCTTTTTCTTCTGCACCGCTTCAATTGTAAGCTAAGGCTTCATTAGGCTAGAGTTCGATGTCGTCGTAAGGCGATGCTCCGAACTCCTGGCCTTAAGAGAGTGTCACTAGATGCAGTGGCTTGGATCTCTCTGGGAAGGCGTCTTCAAATTCGTGGGTGGGGAGTGATGAGCGGTGGTTGGGGGCGATTGGCACGGTATCCATTTGGCTGTCATCCTTGGGAACATGCTTGCTCCAGTAGATCTAAGCCCCTCGGGATTTAGCTCCCTCAAATCGGCGATTCCTTTAAGGGGACGGGTGGTTGGTTCGGCAATCAGAGATGGCAACGGAGGAGGTGGGATGGGTGTCTTCTTCGAGTAGCGTGTTGTGTTGCGGCTCTCTCGCCCATCTGTGGTGGTGCTCAGCGCGTCATCGGAGTCTCTGCCGGTGTCTTTTGGTGCTTACTCTCATGTTTTTAATTTGTGTATTTGTAATAAATGGTTGATATTTTTGCCGTTACGTTTTAACTTGTTTATATTTCGTTGTTGGTCACCGGCGTGTGTTCATCCCTGTGCTGTTTTAGTTTGTCATGTCGTTGATGTCCCCTCGATTTGGGGGTTGGTAATCATACATTTCAGAGCGCGAAAGTTTATCTCGACAGGAAGGGTTTCTTCTACTATAGCCTTAATTGTGCTCGTTGGTAGTGTGCTGAGGTGTTCTCCCGTTTCAGGCCTCAGGCATGCCTATGTTCCCTTGTTGGGTCATTAGCGTTATCCTGTGCATTTGTATCTGATGTGGTTGTAAGTGCTGATATGGCATCAATTATCTAATAACAACACAACTTTTCCTTTAAAAAAAACATAAATGTACTTTAAAAAGTTAAGCTCTTGTTCTACCTTAAAAATACGACTTTCTCCGGTAAGACCTCCATACCGGTAGGGTCAGTTTTGACATTTAGATCTTGTCAAAATACCATCAAATTAGAAAAGTATGTAGAACTGATAGTATCTAATACATATCTGACAACTGAAAATAAAAAATTACCGTAGTTTATTTTTTCTAATCCTACTAGAAAAACTTCCCTTAAAAAACCTCTGAGTATATTTTATTTTTCTTTTGAGTTATTTCACCGATGGCCAAAAAAATCATTTTTTTTGCTTCAACATTGACTTTTAGAAGTCTAGCTATCTTTAATGTTTGTTGAATACACAATTTTGTCTCTAATAATTAACTGTGTATAGTTGAAATGCAATCTAACAAGAGCACGACATTTAAGGTCTAAAAAAGATAAAATGATTAAAAAAAACTAATTATCAATAATGTCCTACTTTCCACCATTAAATTTTTATCAAAAAATTCTTGTTTTGTATATATTTTTAATTTGATATGATTTTAATCAAATTTAATAGTAAAAAATAGCACTACTGGAAAAAGTACCAAAAAATTAGGAAATCAAAAAAATAAAATGAAACAAAGCACAACTAGATAATTACTCGGTCTAAATTCAAGTGTCGTTTAGTTTATAAATTTAAACATAAAATGTGGACAAAATTTTATTTTTTAAAACAATTTAAACTTTTTTTTTATAGAAAATTACTGTAACAAAATTTTTTTTCAACATTATTTTTTTCTCAAATCTATTTGTTTTATGAGTATTATATCTCTTTTAATTTTCTTATATGTAGCGTTATTAACGTGTGGTTTTTGTTTGAAATTTAACCGTTAACATACGGATTAAATTGAGATAGTTTAACTTTTAAAAGTGAATGTTTATAGTCCAAAACAAAATCTTTTTATATGGAATTTATTTACACAAAAATTAAATAGTTTAATTTATGAATTTAATAGCTTTTTAAGTCCCGTTTGGCAAAATGAATTTTTTACTGGTTATTTTTAACAAATGTATTTAAAGTGATCATTTTAATTACATTACAGTATTTTTCTCTTATAAAAAATTTGAATTCAAAACTTTCTCAATAACACTTCTCTCGTAAAATTTTTGCTAAAAATAAGAACCACTTACTTAAATACGTAAATTAAATGGGTCTTATCATTCACTTTGTAAAAATAAGCCTTTTATTTTGAGAAAAATATACAAATATCTATTAAAATGTAGGGATTAAAATTTCTATCTATTATTTTTAATTAATAACATTTTTAATTAAATAATTATATTAATAAAAAATATTAATTAAAAATAAGTGATAAAATTCATATCTATAAATATTTTTAAGAGTAAATTCTACCATTTTCTCTTTTCTCCTTTACTCTTTTACTTTTGGGGGTTTGAGGATTAGCCGTTCAGGATTATGAGAAGCCACGTGATGGACTTTGGAGCACGTGGGCTCTTTCCTACCAGTTCTGGAAGCAACCATGGGATAAGATTTACTAGTCATTGAGCATTGAATTTTCATATTAGAGAGAGAGAGAGAGAGAGAGAGAGAGAGAGAGAGAGAGAGAGAGAGTATCACATATTACTGTGTTTTGGG